ATTGATAATTATAATTTTGCATCACCTCAGCCGTGGAGCTCACCATGTCCTATTTGCGATGGAAAACATGGGAATTATGGATTACATGGTGAATGGTATAAAAATGGAACAGAATATTGTCTTAGCTGTAACTCTTCAAGCAATAAATTCAAGTTCGCAATTGTACCTGTATAGGCCGGTCATGTGAGACTGTCACCTGAAAAAAATGCACAGTACAGTACAGTGTATTTGTTTTTTCAAGCGTATATTCGTATATTTAGACCTTGTCAATCTTTACATAAAGAACTACATTATTTGGATTTTGGAGCAGAAATCCCGTGACCAATTAACACGTCCCAACACGTGACTTAGATGTGATGATAAATCTATGTAGAAACAATTTTTCTGGCGATCTTTTTTTTTATACAACAAAAAAAATGACTACAATAAACTGCTTGTTTGTAGACGATTATTCTTACGAAGACATTTTTAAAATCAAAATTAAAGAAAATGAGACAGTCGGAAATCTCGTGGAAGCCATCAAGAAAAGAAACATTGGTTTTGGCGGAGACGGACTCAAAATTCTAAAGATAGATCTTCCCCTTGGCACGCTGAGTGACAAACTAGCCCTCATAGAATCTAAATCTTTCGTCAACATTAAGACGTTTCTAGGAGGTGAAGAGTTGCCTTCAACAAAGCTTATCTCTGAGTGTTTTGATACTGGGGAACACTATATTGTCATCGATCCACCTTCTGGTCGTTTTACCTTCAAGAAATGTGTTAGTGAAAACAAGCTCGTTGTGGGTGATAAAATTATCTACAATGATAATAATACTTGCTTAGAGGGTACAATTGTTAATATATCTAATACATTTCAAATCAAATGCACAAAGGTTAAAGAATATTGTTTGGACTCATTTTCTAAGTTCATCAAACTTGCAATTTCGCCATATGACATAGAAAGCGAGCATTGGAAAAACTTATCGATCGAATTATCAGAGTCGAAAGAAAAGTTTATCTGGCGTGACTTTCGTCGTCGCATGCTTAACAGAAATTTAAAAGGTACAGATCTAATTGATCCAGTGTTAGAGAGAGAAAAAAAAAATAATGAGGCCAAAACAGAAAAACATGATGCCGATGATATTATCTATAATCGAATTCGTCTTTGCCCGCCTAGTATTGAAAGTAGTGTAAAGCATACTGCTTCCTCGAAATTTATCACAATAAATGCGACCATTTCTTACGGACCCTCAGCCGATAAGCACGTTGAAGTCGAACAATTATATAAACTACTCGTTGATAAGAAAGATTGTATTGATCGTGTACTGGAGTCGCAACCAGTATATTTTATCGGTCCCAGCTTTCATGAAGATTATAACTTTCCGTGCATTACCTGTTGGGTAACAGCGCCTTTAAGTAAATCAACTCTAGAACAACTTGGGGAAATATATGGTGGTGAGTTTAAAGTTGTATGCGAAATGATGGAAACAACCAATTACGCAAGTAACAGTGGCGGTGGTAGTACTTCAGGAGAACCATGCGAAATGATGGAAACAACCAATTACGCAAGTAACAACGGTGGTGGTAGTACTTCAGGAGGATGCAGTGGACCTGATGGAAATAAGTCAAATGATAGGAAAAGGCAAAGATTTGGAAAGAGAAAAAGTGATGAAGATGAAGATTATGATAGAGATTATGATAGTGATAATGATGGCGGTGGTGGTGGTGGTGATGGTGATGGTGGCCGTAGCAGTGATATTAAAGGGAGAAAAGTCATTAAAGTTTCTTCTGGAGCATCTGTTGAATGTGAAGGCCATTTTCAAAGATTTACTATCCGTGTTCATTTCCATGCAAATATTCATAATGATGATGATTCTGACCGAATGCTTTTCATCGATGCTGATATAATTGAATGTAGAGCAGGTGCATTGCTTAATCAAAATTGGAAGCAACTCTCCAGTTTGGGTAGAGGCTATTTTCTTGAATCTGCTACAATTAGCTTTTCTCCGATTACAGATGCAACTAATAACAGAAGTGCACTATATGAGCGAGAATATTACTTTCCAAAAGTGAAAAATCGTATTGTTGAAAGTTTAGTAGGTACTGAGAAGCAAGGTAGTTTAGATCTTGGGACATCATCAAAGGCCGGATTCCTAATGAAAAAATCTGAAAGTACCAAGACTATATCAGATGAATGGCACTTGAAAACTTGGGGTTGCGGTACTACCGGGGATCATTGGATGTATGAAAGAAGGTCTACTGATCAGATTCTTGAAATTGAACCTAGGAGTCACATTAGTAAATGGCTAATTGGTGAAAAAATGTGTGGGTTCCGAGTCAAAATCACTCAAGTTTTACACTTTAATTTTACTGTCGCTGGTGTATTAAATAGAGTGGTGGACTTTAAGCCAAAGCTGGTGATGTGTCCCAAGGTATCTCATACCCTTGAAATTGATTTCAATGGCCTTGAAGACTTTAATGAAAAATTTATGTCGCTTGAACGTTTCCGTAGAGGTGAGGATCTTATCCTCACTGTAAATAATAATACATGTACTAATGTGACCGACAAGACAGATTCTGGTTTTGTTAATATTGACCGTTCATTTTATAATGAAAAAAACTAAAATAGAAAATTGTTAGCATGAAATTGTATCATTTTGTAATAATTCATAGCTATAAATAAAAGATTTTATTATTTTTAATATTGTCATAAAAAAATTTACGTATGTGAAAAAGAGTGAATTAAATAAATTAACAAAGATAAAAAATAAATTAAAAGACTCCGGGTAATAATCATGGATCGGAAAATTTGGAGACTTGAAAAACCGAAGCTATTTAATAGCATTGGTAAAGAAAAAATAGTCCGGATTACCCCATCATTCATCTTAAATCTAACCGGAGATGAAACCAAATATGTAATGGCTGAAATCTTAACACGTAAGGTTTGATGAGCTCGGACAAGCTTGTCCAGACTCGGCCATCATTTTTAGAGATTATGGTAACTTTTGAAGACTTTAGCTAAAACGATTTAATAAAGTTCTGCCCATAATTCGGGCTTATATTTTTATTTGCTTTGCGAATGTGTATGAGTATGTGAATTGCATTTGGGATATATAATAAATAATTTCGTAAAATATGTGAAGTACTGCGCTATAAATTATCACTTGACATATAATACTGTATTACGTCACATGATTCATCCTTCTGCACAGTTTTGACGAGCTCGGACGCCCCCTCAAAAATAATTTTTTTCGGGAGAAGAAGGCAGGTAATCATAGACTTGAAAGAATAGCTGGGGGGAAACATTTTTATCTTTTTTCGAATCTAGTGAGAAAAAAGGACTCTACCATCAGAAAAATAAGCTAGTCATATGCACAGCTCTTTCGGGAGATAAATTTAACCTGATGCCCACAAGTTTCGGAAGATAAATTTAACCGGATGTTGATCCTGGTTCTGACGAGCTCGGACAAGCTTGTCCAGACTCTACCAACAGAAAAAATAATATTTTTTTTGCACATGCATTTTATTCGTAATCATTTTCCCGAATTCCAAGGCTATCCGGCTAAAGAAAAAATCCGAAATCTGATTGGCCGATCATCTCGTGATTTGAGTTGCGGGAAGGTTGCGAGGAAGTGCCGGGAACTGTCTGGGAGCCAGGGTGATACAAATTTTTATGTTATACATCATTCAAAGCGCCTCCGGCTAATCCATGTTAATCACGAGAGATCCACAAACCACATGTAAATATAAAATTAGCTTAGCCGAGATATAAATTCCCAATATGAATAAAAATGAATTTTGATTTAGTAGTATGTAGTCTCACTAAATTGGCTACAAATCAATAAAGTTGCTTATAAAAATGAATATGGTTTTATTATAGTATATTATTGCTAAATCAGCTAAAATCGATAAAAT